TAATCCATTGTAATCAATTGTTTGGCAGTGTCTCTGAGCCTGATAAGCAAAGTGACACTCCGCCAGTGCTGTGCGTAATAAACCCACGTGCTTGATTCTAGACAGTGTCCATTTCGTTCCTTCAGTCATTAGCTTTGTGCTGTAGTTTCTTTGGCGGGGAGCTGTGGCAAAGAGCCAGAAAGTTCGCCCTCTGCCTTAATCTCTCTCAGGAGAGTGAATTATTGGAGCAGAACTGCTCCCAGGGAACAAGGCAGTGGTGTCTGAGCTGAAATTTCTGACAGAGGGTTTCACCTGCATGCTGTTTGTTACCATCTCACTTCAAGGACTGATGTATGTAGCATAAATAAAACATGCTGCACTAAGAATATCACCAAGGTAGAGTCTGGGTGATCTCTCCTCCAATGGACAGCAAACCTGTGAGGCCGTGAAATCTGCTACTGTTCAGCTGAGGGGAGACAAGAGTTTGGGAAGGAATTAGGCACAATAAGAACATAAGAACAGCCATAATGGGTCAGACCAAAGGTCCATCTAGCCCATAGCCTGTCTTCCGACAGTGGCCAATGTCAGGTGCCCCAGCGGGAATGAACAGAACAAGTGATCATCAAATGATCCATCCCTTGTCGCCCATTCCCAGCTTCTGGCAAACAGAGGCTAGGGACACCATCCCTGTCCTTCCAGGCCTATCACTGATGGACCTATCCTCCATGAACTTATCGAGTTCTTTTTTGAACCGTGTTATAGTCTTGGCCTTCACAACATTCTCTGTTTGAATATTTATGTACCATTCAATCACTATTCATTTGCATACATAATAATGCTTATTGGCTGTTTCTAAGGTGGTTTTTGTTGGTATAGACACATTTTAACATTGTTAGCCAATTGCAGGTGCGTGCGTGTTGATGGTCACATTGTGGCTTGGATGGTAACTGACCTGCTACATAAATTCTTGATTCCTTTTCTTGTTTGAGGAGAGTGCTCCTAATGGAACAGGAGATGTTCTGGTTTGAGGTTTCTGTTATGATTGTAGAAGTTTCTGTTTCAAACAGGCCATTAGCCCCTTGGAATTTTCTTTCAGACAGCAACGGTACATGTTGTCCAGTGAGACCTCTCCAACAAACCTCAGGCTCTGGGTACCACCCAGCTGATCGGCACACCACTCGGATCCCTCCATCCTGATAACCCTCAACAGAGATGAGAGGAGCAGCACCTAGAGCTGAAGGAGAGTGGAATAAAATTGTTTCAATTTTATATTCTGCCGTGGTGTTGTAGCCATGTCGGTCACAGGATATTAGAGAGACAAGGTGGGCAAGGTAATACTTTTATTGTACCAACTTCCATTGTGGAGAGAGACAAGCTTTTGAGCTTACACAGAACTCTTCTTCAAGGTCTGGGAAACTAACCCAGAGTGTCATAGGTAAATACAAGATGGAACACTCTGAGTTAAGTTCCCAGACCTGAAGAAGAACTCTGTGTAAACTAGAAAGCTTGGCTCTCTCCCCAACAGAAGTTGATCGAGTAAGAGATATTACCTGGCCCAACTTGTCTCTAACATTAGAACTTATATCATTATTCAGCATAAGAAGTAAGTATTTAAACCTTCAGCACAACAAATGCTTGGCAATGCACAACAGAAGCAGAATCGAAAGCCACCAAAGGGACTTGGGAAGAAGCTAAGATTGAAGCAAGAAACCAACAAAGATGCAAGGCAGCGGTGAAGGCCCTCTGTGCCACATGGCATGAAGTGCATAAGTCATGTTAGTTAAAAAGGCCCCTGTCTGGCTTACAGGGGTAAAGGGTTAGAACAGGAGAAGACAGCTGCAGCCATCTCTGCACTGAAGTTCTGGGTGTGCATGGCAGCTCAGGTAGATGGATCAGCACTAACTGTGCTCTAGCTGGCTCGCTAAAAGTAAAAGCGAGGATGCCACAACATGGGCTTCACTGGCAGCTGCTCCAGCGGGTATGTTCCCAGGGGGGGTGAAAGCTGCTCTGAAGCCCAGGCCCTGGTGTTCTCACTTCTAGTTTTAGCGAGCTAGCTACAGGACGGTTACTGTGGGCATATCTACATGAGCTACTATTCACGCCCCTGGCTGCAATGCAGACAGACCCTTAGTTTCATCCACTGTTACTGACAGATGTGCTGAGAGAGCAGTGTACAAACACTTGCTCTTGGACAGTGCCAAACTAATGGGAGCCATTAGGCCATTTATTGATGGCCATTCTTTCGAAAGAGTACGGTGCGAGGCAGAGACGACCCGTGCCTGCCAATAGGGGGAGGGCAGAGTGAGGGCAGCCGGTTTCAGCAGTGTTACTGAGCATGCTCAGTACAAGCCAAGCAGCAAATGGGGTGGGGGATGCGACCCCACATGCCCCACCCCCCACGCGTCGTCTCTGATGCCAGTCCCTCTTCCACAAAGAAATTCGACCTCTCTTCATAACAGGAGTCTTAGGATATTCACAATCTTATCCATCAATGCCCGTTTTCAAATCCATTTTAGAAGGTAAATTGCTGAAAAAGTACTAAGGAGACATCTGCAGTCACATCACGATTTCACAATTTCCCAAGATCTGTAGCAGCTGAGCGTGAGACAGGTGATGGAAAAAGTGTTGGTATCTGTGGCTGAAAATCTTTTAATGACATATTCAGGAAGGTGTCCTGAAGATTTCAATAGATCTCTCAGTGGCCTTTATGATCACGGACCACGGCTCATCTCTGCTGCTTCTCATGGGTAACCTGGTTCCTATAGTGTAGTTCAGTCATTTTCTTCCTGCCTAATGAAAGCAACCTATGCCGGGGGTTCTCAACCCTTTTCTCTCTGAGCCCTGCCCCAACATGCTATAAAAACTCCAAGGCCCACCTCTGCCACACCCACTGTTTTTCTCCATGTAAAAGCCAGGGCCAGCGTTAGGGGGTAGCAAGCAGGGCAATTACCTGGGGTCCCACTTCACATGGGGCCCCGCGACACTCAGTTCCTCAGGCTTTAGCTTCAGGCTCATGCAGTGGGACTTCAGCTTTCTGCCCTGGGCCCCAGCAAATCTAATGCCGGCCCTGTTTGGTGGTCCCCCTGAATCCTGCTCGCGTCCTCGCAGGGAGCCCTGGGCCCCTGGGTGAGAACCACTGACCTAGACGATTAAACTCTTTTCACCTCGCCTGACTCAAGGCATGAGCCAAAACTTACTGAAGATATTACACCTGGCTTCAAAGACATTGGAAAACCTCCGGTTGATATCTATGGGCTTTAGATCAGGCCCTCAGTGTGTACATAAAAGCAGAGGACTTGACTGTGATAGGAGATATTTAGATTAAGAGATGCACCATTGCTTTGCTTTTTACATTCACCTGCACATCTCCTTTTCAGTGAATGATTATTCGGTTGTCTCTCTGCTGTCTCAGTTTCCGACAGCATTTGGGACACTGAGAGAAAACTGGGTCTGGCTGAATAAGTGAAAGGCTAAAACAAGGCTGATGGCCCAGTTCCTCCAAAGACTTCTGGTCATTGTGGTGTGAGGCTCATGCTGGCTCCTTTGCTGTCCCTGGGTTCTCAAGATATAGCAACTATCTCATGGCTAGCCACCCAGGAGGATGTCCCTCTTCCTCTCTTAGGCTTGGTCTACACTAACCCCCCAAATCGAACTAAGGTACGCAACTTCAGCTACGTGAATAACGTAGCTGAAGTTCGAAGTACCTTAGTTCGATCTTACCTCGGTCCACATGCGGCAGGCAGGTTCCCCCGTCGACTCCGCGGTACTCCTCTCGTCTAGCTGGAGTACCGCAGTCGACAGCGAGCACTTCCGGGTTCGACTTATCGCGTCCAGACAAGACGCGATAAGTCGAACCCG